TTTATAGGTTCAAAAAATGTTTTTGTAATGGAAAATGTAATATTATAAAACACAGATGTAAATTGCAAGTTTTTTTGTGTAATTCTGATATTACATCTCCTTGAATTAAAACAAACTATCTACATTTACCAAATTACCAATGATGTACTTTTACCATGACATACATATACATATGGATCAATTTTTATCGAATATAACATTATCAAAATTAAATTTGTCAAATTAGATAATGATTCAAAAAAGTAAACTTATTAAATGATATTATTTATTTTCTCCAAGAAATTACTTAATAAATAAAATTTATTAATAAATGATATAATTTATATACAAAATTAATTGAAGGTGATAATTTTTTTTAAATCATATCAACTTTAGCATCCAAGAAGAATATTCTAAAGTATCTTTGATTGATTTTAATTAACCAATTTGAACCAAATACGAAGATTAATTAATAAGATAAGAAAAGATTACCCTTCCGATGGTATGATGATAAGGCGAACATTAGTCATATATCGCACGTATAGAAGGATGTGTAGTCTTCAAAACGGCCCAGCGGTTCTACATGTATGCCAAATAAGAAACTCGTTGCGATTGTGGAACTCCCATTGCGACATCTAATCAATAAACTTCCCTCCGTGACGTTAAAAAGGGAAAGCATTATGTAAATGACGTAGTGGGAGTTGGACGATCGCAAAGACTGTACGATTTCACCTACATGTGGAACCCTTTTGAGGAGTCCAAGAATACTCGCACGAACGTAGAATAAATAAGCCACCCGGTAAAAAGAGCAGATTATAAAGGATAAATATGCTTCTATCTAATTCAATGTCGTTTTTGTCCATAAACAGATTAATTCCGAATGAAGAGGAAGCAGGAATTAGATGGTATGAAAATGCTAACAGTACTTGCAATAGAATAATAGTGGTATTAAATGGTATTAAATATAATAGAGACGCTCAATTTATCTTTGAAATGACAAAATTGATAATTTTTAACATGAATTTATTGGTTAATTATACTATATTTTTTAAAAGTAAAAAACAAAAAATATAAGTATAAAACATACTCAATTTTAATGCGTTTAATTTAATTTTATTTTATAGGGATGTCATAACCCATTATTTTAAAAAAAAGTAATTCAGCTGAATTAAAATGAATTAACTTTTTTGGCAAGGTCTAATTCGTATTTGTCGCTAAGCAAGATTTAATGGAGCCCTTTGTATATTCAAATCAATTTGTACCAATGAGTTTTCATTTGTTTAGAATTCAAATTAAATGACCAACTCGTCTATTGGATTTTTGCTGACGAATTGAAAAACATTGAAACTCAAAACTTTTTTTATTGAATTAGTACGAATAGAGATTTTGGAAATGGAATTCAGCTTCATAGAATTCAGAAGAATTGCAACATAGCTGCAATTCGAATTTGTCGCAAAACGGGATTCACTGAAACTCAAGGTATATTCAATTCAATTCAGACGAATTAATTTTTATTTTCTGGGAAAATTGATTTCAATATTAAATCAGAATGATGTGCTATAATTCGTATTTTGATTACAAGAATTAAAATGGTTTTAACTTTTGTAGTTATATTCCAAAATACAACAGTTTTAAACTGTTATGGAGCTTATCAGTTAAGGATTGAATATGACTCAAAAATACTCAAATGTAATGAGAATAATCCTCCAATATTATGATTATTATTTAATGTATATAAGAAATCTTGCATACTTTAACCCAGGCGGAAATTTCCAACCGCCGCGGACCTGGTATTCGTCCGAAAGATGACTTGGTTCTGTACAGACTGCGGATCCGATTCGGTACAGGCGTCAAACCGCCCGGGACCTGGCTTTCATCCGCCTGGGTACTGGCATTCATGCGCTTGTTATCCGCCCGAGACCTGGCATTCATCCGCTTGTCATCCGTCTGGGTACTGGCATTCATCCGCCTGGCAAGCGTCTACGAACTGGTATAGTTCCGAAAGATGACTTGGATCGGTGTAGACCGCGGAACCGTCTCGGTATAGGTTTTCTGCCGCCCAGCAACCGGCTGGGAACTGGCATTCTTCCGTCTAGCAACCGGCGCGGATCAAAAAAAAAATTTTTTTTTAATAATTTAGAAAAAAAATTTTTTCATTAACAATGCAGAATGCATATTAATTATTTGTTATTAATAGTTCACTCGAAATATTTTTCACACACTTAACTTATTTTTACACACATTAAATTTCCTAACGCTAGTAGGGGGATTCGAACCCTAGCCTATCTTAATCTAACGCACCGAAATCTAATACGCTAACCACTACGCTGTTCGCTCGCTTGAGAATCTCAGCATGACAGAGCCGATTTAAACTGTCACTAAGAAAAACAAATTTTTTTAATTTTATATATGTTTTAATATTTGTATTAGTTTACTTTTTTAATGACAGTTATAGATTGCATAATTAATTTGTAATTATACGTGCCTATATAATGAATACATCGATACCCAAAGTAATTTTTTAACTTACTGCAATTTGTTTACGTTCTAATTTCTTTTTAAATAAAAGAAATTATAGTAATTTTTTCATTAAAAGCGTGAAAATAATTTAATAATAAATAAATTTAATAATTTTTTTTAAATTATGTAACAAAGAAAAATTCTTGAATTAAATTTGAATGAAATTGAAAGTTAACACAGCAAATTTGTTTGTTAATATAATTTAAAATTAATTAAAAATTCAAATAATTTAATTATTAATTGATTAAAATATGAAATAATTGAATTGTTAACCGATCAATAAAATGTTTCAATTTTTAATCAATAAAAAATGATTTTTAGTCATTTAAAAATTTAAAAAAAGTTAATCAATATTTAAATTTGAAAGATTTATAATAATATTATAGTCCGGGAGCCAGCGACGAAATTTACTATCTCATTTCATACCGGCTGAAAATTTGTACATATCTTACTAAAGATATGCTAATTACAAAAACCTACGTCTGGCAGGCTGGTTGTGGTACAGGGGGTAGCGCCACGGGGGTAAAGTGGTGAAAATAAGTGAAACTTTTTCTCATTTCATACCGGTTAAAACCTTTAAAAGTTGAAAGTTTACATTCACACAATTGTAAAAATGCACGTCTGGCAGTCTTAGGCTGGGACAAAGGTCGTCTGGCAAGGGGTTAAAGGGGTAAAAAAATCGGATTCGCTTATCTCATTTCATACCGGTTGAAACCTTCAAAAGTTGAAAGTTTACATTCACACAAATGTAAAAATGCACGTCTGGCAGTCTTGGGCTGGGACAAAGGTCGTCTGGCAGCCCTTTGAAGATGCTCCGCGCCAGCCCGAGATTTCACAGGGGGCTGATAAACAGTGTGACCTAATCTCATTTCATACCGGTTGAAACCTTCAAAAGTTGAAAGTTTACATTCATACAAATGTAAAAATGCACATCTGGCAGTCTTGGGCTGGGACAAAGGTCGTCTGGCAAGGGGTGAAATGGGTAAAAAATCGGATTCGCCTATCTCATTTCATACCGGTTGAAACCTTCAAAAGTTGAAAGTTTACATTCACACAAATGTAAAAATGCACGTCTGGCAGTCTTGGGCTGGGACAAAGGTCGTCTGGCAGCCCTTTAAAGATGCCCCGCGCCAGCCCGAGGTTTGATAGAGGGTTGATAAACAGTGTGAGTTCATCTCAGTAATGTAAGTAAAGTTGCGTAACTCGCCGCTTTTTTCATAGTAATATATAACATATTTTTTATTTGCATTTTGTTTATAAACATTTTTTTAATGACATTTTTATGTTTTAACATAAAATTATACGTTGCATAAATAATATTTATTTATATGACTTAAGATCACATTTTTTGTTTATATAAACAATAATAATATTAAAATAATATTAAAATTAAATAATAATATTTATTTATATGACTTAAGATCACATTTTTTGTTTATATAAACAAAAAATGTGATCTTAAGTCATATAAATAAATATTATTTATGCAACGTATAATTTTATGTTAAAACATAAAAATGTCATTAAAAAAATGTTTATAAACAAAATGCAAATAAAAAATATGTTATATATTACTATGAAAAAAGCGGCGAGTTACGCAACTTTACTTACATTACTGAGATGAACTCACACTGTTTATCAACCCTCTATCAAACCTCGGGCTGGCGCGGGGCATCTTTAAAGGGCTGCCAGACGACCTTTGTCCCAGCCCAAGACTGCCAGACGTGCATTTTTACATTTGTGTGAATGTAAACTTTCAACTTTTGAAGGTTTCAACCGGTATGAAATGAGATAGGCGAATCCGATTTTTTACCCATTTCACCCCTTGCCAGACGACCTTTGTCCCAGCCCAAGACTGCCAGATGTGCATTTTTACATTTGTATGAATGTAAACTTTCAACTTTTGAAGGTTTCAACCGGTATGAAATGAGATTAGGTCACACTGTTTATCAGCCCCCTGTGAAATCTCGGGCTGGCGCGGAGCATCTTCAAAGGGCTGCCAGACGACCTTTGTCCCAGCCCAAGACTGCCAGACGTGCATTTTTACATTTGTGTGAATGTAAACTTTCAACTTTTGAAGGTTTCAACCGGTATGAAATAAGATAAGCGAATCCGATTTTTTTACCCCTTTAACCCCTTGCCAGACGACCTTTGTCCCAGCCTAAGACTGCCAGACGTGCATTTTTACAATTGTGTGAATGTAAACTTTCAACTTTTAAAGGTTTTAACCGGTATGAAATGAGAAAAAGTTTCACTTATTTTCACCACTTTACCCCCGTGGCGCTACCCCCTGTACCACAACCAGCCTGCCAGACGTAGGTTTTTGTAATTAGCATATCTTTAGTAAGATATGTACAAATTTTCAGCCGGTATGAAATGAGATAGTAAATTTCGTCGCTGGCTCCCGGACTATTATACACATAATCAAGAACATACAATAAAATTAAGTTTTTATTTTTTAATAATTCTTATTTATTAAAATATAGTTTAGAATTGTCATGTTTTACAATAGTACGTCAGTGAAAACTTGCATGAAAAACTTAGTTAAATTAAGTATGTAATTTTAAGTAAAAAAAATATGAAACGGTTTTTTCTTCCATAAAAACTTTAGTTTGCAGGATGGTTTGATTTTCTGTCTTTTTTTCCTCCCTCTCTATCGCCTGCATTGGAAAACCAGCGGGTAATATAATTATTAAATTGTTGTACCGGCACGTTGGAAAACTTCTCAAGATGAATTTCTGTAATAATAGGAGGCAATAATAATTGTAATAATTAATTAATTCATTGTAATAACACAGCCACACAAAAAAAAAAAGTACCCGGGCCGGGAAATGAGACCATCATTTCTTGATGTATTTTGATGCGCTGAACACGAATCTGAAGTCCGTTTAGCTCCATCACGTCAGGATTTTGACATAACCTCAAAAAACATAGCTGATTTTATATGACAGGAGAAATTTTTTAAATAATGGCAGATTTGCTTGAATCTTGTTACTCGGGGGTTTTTGGGGTCGCTGATTACGAATTTAACGTCAGATTTAATAAATTCAAAATGGCGGATCCAATATGGCGGACGAATTTTTAAAAAGTAGTTGGATTTTTACGAAAATTGGTATCTAGGGGTTTTGGGAGTCGCTGATTACAAATTTATCGTCAGATTATTCAAATTCAAAATGGCGGATCCAATATGGCGGACAAATTTTTAAAAAGTAGTTGGATTTTTACAAAAATTGGTATCATGGGGTTTTTTGGAGTCGCTGATTACGAATTTAACGTCAGATTATTCAAATGTAAAATGGCAGATATAGTACGGTGGTCAAATATCTTTATGTTTCTACATGTGTCTGCATCCAGGGTACCTCCACGCGGTGACGGTGGACAACGGAGTTTGTCCGCTATCCGGCTAAGTCCCTGGATAATGGCTTTGATGCCGTCATAGCAGACACACGTAGGAAACGTATTACGATGCAGAGACTCGGAACCCCAGTATCGGCCAAGTTACATAAAAATTCAACTATTTTTTAAAAACTCGTCCGCCATATTGGATCCGCCATTTTGAATTTGAATAATCTGACGATAAATTTGTAATCAGCGACTCCCAAAACCCCTAGATACCAATTTTCGTAAAAATCCAACTACTTTTTAAAAATTCGTCCGCCATATTGAATCCGCCATTTTGAATTTTATAAATCTGACGTTAAATTCGTAATCAGCGACCCCAAAAACCCCCGAGTAACAAGATTCAAACAAATCTGCCATTATTTAAAAAATTTCTCCTGCCATTTAAAATCAGCTATGTTTTTTGAGGTTATGTCAAAATCCTGACGTGATGGAGCTAAATGGACTTCAGATTCGTGTTCAGCGCATCAAAATACATCAAGAAATGGTGGTCTCATTCCCCGGCCCGGGTACTTTTTTTTTTTTGTGTGGCTGTGTAATGAATGACAAATAATGGAGATTTATTAAATGTTACTATTTATAATTTATTAAAAGTTTACCTTTTAAAAGACTGAAAGTCTGAGTCGATGAAAAGTCTTTTTTCTGTTTTTTTCTACTGGGACGACTAAATCCACTGTATTCGAGTTAGACTTTTTTTGTTAGAATCATTGGTAAAATCGTACATATCATATTTGTATGAACAAACAATGGCTTTGATTGAAGACGCATAAATTTTTTCTGTAAAATACATAATTTAGATTATTTTTTTATTTAATTTCATTAATTTATTGTTTTTATCTTAATTACTTAAAATTTATTATTGAAAGAAAGAAATAAAAACAGTACTAAAATCACTGAGAAATTAAGGGAAATAAAAGTAATGATTATTATTCTTATTATTATTGGATTTATTTAAAAATAAAAAATTACCAATTCAGATTTCAAGTCTTGTTCGGCACACAATTGATTTTCAAACTCGAGAAAGTCGGTGATATTCCTTTTTGGTAGAGTTGGCAAAATCTCCATTTGTTTTGACTCCTCTGCTGAAGTAAGATTGCTTGACATTTATTGAATAAGATGTTCGAATTTCAAATTTAAATCATATAAGATACTCTTCTTAATTCCAATAAGTTGTTTTTCAATCGATTTGAATCCAGATTGAACATCTTCTTTCAACTGCTTTAATTCTTCTGAAAAACGTATAAAACATTAAAATTAATATTTGTAACATAATACTATTAACAGTTATTTTTTTCCAAGATGAATTTTTTGGTGACATTAAAAACAATGATTTTTCATTATTTATACAATTTGATTATTTTCAAAATTTGCAAAATAAATTAATTTTGTTTGCATGTAAACACATGCCGTCACCTTCCTTTTGTTTTCGACAGTTAATTTCTCGTGTTTTCATTATTCTACTTTATTTTATTTTAAAAGCACTTTGACTTACCTTTTTGTGATTTTCCGAATGTTAACAATAGAAAGCTCCTATTTATGTACCTTTACTCTTTTTTTGGGAAATTAAAACACTATTTCTGTCACATTTAACTGGCAATCAAGCCCTCGAGATAAAACGTGGTGAAAACGAACAAAACGAATTTGTGTTGTGCCGGCAAGAAGGCTGTTTGCGCATGTCTCGTGATATGGCAGTAACGTAGCTACTTGATTATAGTACCCAAATTTTACACACAATTGAACTTTTTTTTTAGATTTCACTTTATTTAACAAATAATCCATAGAGAGTTAACTAATAAAAATAAAAATGCTTTTTTTTCATTAATCAATTAAATGATTAAGTTATACTCTACTAAAAAAAAATCTAAAAAGATATTTATGTAAAGCTCTAAAAATTGTAGGTACATCACTGAAATTAAATCACCCAACAATTATTCTGTTTTTCGTACAGGAGTCTAGGCATTCATCTTTCGCTGGTTTATAACAATCGAATTATCGTTTCTCGGCCAAATTTTTTAAATGAAGCTAACATCCCTACCAAAAAATTATATAGAACTGTAATTTAGTTTTGTAAAATTAATTTAAAATTAATTAGTTTCTAATAATTATTAATTCTAAAGACATTTTAATGTAACGGCAAATTTTTATTTATTTAATTGACAAAATAAAAGTAATATTATTTAATAAATTAGTAAGATCCATTTATGAATATTTATTTAAGATATTATACATAAATAAAAAAATTGAGTTTAAAAATATGTAACTGTAACATATTTTTTCAAATTAATCTATTATTTCACAAATTAATTTTATGTTCTTATTGTTAATTATATTTTTTAAATACATTCTTTATAAAAACTCTTCTCACAAAAATGTTTTACAAATATGATGCATTCTGGTATATCCATCATTTGAATTATTATTTTATCAATTTTATTATAAATAATTGATTTTGTTAATTTATTAATTTTTATTAAAAACAATAAAAATAGAAAAATTTATTATGCATCTTTGTTCAAAATTTTTTTAAAAAATAATTATTCTTCAAGACATAAGAAATCATATAGGATTTCATGTATGCAAGATCCTACGTATGAACTCATATGGATTCCTATATAGGATCTCATACCAAGTCGGAAATTATATAAGAAATTATGTCGGAAATTATATGGGAAATTCAAATATAGATGTATATCATCATAGTTCCACTTTTACACCGTCAGATGGTGCTAATTTTTTTTCTCACAGCTGAAATCAGTCTTGAATACTATAAAAGCTGAGACTCTAACTCAGAAGGTGTATTGCAAAGCACCATTTCTTTTCTTTTCAGATGAATTGCAGTAATATTATTTGATTTTTAATTAAATAATTTTTAATTTTTATAAACTGACATCTGCCAAGTGAAAATTCCTATATGAAATCCTATATTGTTTCCTTTATATAATTCTATGTGAAATCTTAAATATAAATATTTCAGAATCTACATGAAATTCTATATGATTTCTTATGTTCAAATCAATCATATATATGATCTCACGTGAGGATTTTCAATATGATTTCATGTCAGATTATTTGTAATAATTTTTTATTCAAGAATCGAAAAAAGATTTGATGTATGATTTGATATAGGAAAATTTCTGGTTAAGGATTGAGCAATGAATTTTGGTATGTTTTTTAGTGAGAAAACACGAAGAAAATTGACATAAGAAATTGAAGGAAAAAATGTGACCAGAAAAAATTGTAAGATTTCACATAGGAATTTACATAATTTATTACCTAAGAATTCGTTTATAAGAATTTACGTGGAATCCTACTTCAAATCATATGTCTCAATTTCCTATATGATTTTTCATAGGATCCTATATAGTTTCTTACATGACACATAGGATTTTATATGGATTTTAATATATGAATTTATGTGAGATCCTATATAAGATCCTATATGAGAATTTTCAGTAGGGTATTTAAATTTCCTACACTAAAAGAAATTTGTATTATCATTTATTGATAGATGCATATAAAAGTTTAAAATAAAGTGTTTCAATTTAGGAAAAAAGAGTAATTTTTATAATTACTGTTAAAATTATTATCAAAATATATAACCCAAGTAGCACGATATATCAACCAGATGTCACGGTGATATCACCGAGGAATGTCACCGTGACATCAGGAAAATGTCAAAGTGTCCGCCTTACGGTGATATCACACGGTGACATCGAGGTGATATCATGGTGACATCAAAGTGATATCACAGTCATATCACGGTGATATCATGGTGATATCACCGTGATATCATGTTGATATTTTACAGGGATTTAAAATTTTTTAAAAATTATTATTTTTTTTATTTATTATTATTTTTTAAATTATTAAAAATTTTAAGTCCCTGTAAAATATCAACATGATATCACGGTGATATCACCATGATATCACCGTGATATCACCTTGATGTCACCATGATATCACCTCGATGTCACCGTGTGATATCACCGTAAGGCGGACATTTTGACATTTTCCTGATGTCACGGTGACATTCCTCGGTGATATCACCGTGACATCTGGTTGATATATCGTGCTACTTGGGAATAAATATAAGAATAAATATTATTTGAAGAATGAAAAATTAATAAATTTATTATTAATTAGAATTATGCGAGGATTATGACAAAGTACTAAAAAGTGTTATTTAAAATGCAGAAGTTGTAAAAATAAATATATAATTTAGCATGCATATATATACATATATATATATAACACATTAAACTTATAATTTTTTTTATATTTTTTATATTTGCAATGTGCATAACATTTAGTACTAGCGGTAAGTACTTCACCCATAAATTATTATTATTAATTTTTATTAAAAACTGTTTATGGTGAGAGGATTAAAATTTTGGTTAAATATCAGCATTGCATTTTTTGAAAAATCATAACTATTGTATTAAAATATGAAAAAATTTAAACTTATATGATTTGGAAAGGGTTTTTCATGTTCTTTCGAATAATATAATTTTTTCTTTAAATTCATAATTTACTCTTTCTTTGAAAATCAAAACTATTTTAAAATTTTTTTGTAATAATAAACATTTAAGTAAGCTAAGTAATTTACTGTAATTAAGAATTTACCAATTTAATATTAACGTAATTTTGCATCCAAGGAGCACTACATGAAGTATTTTGATTAAGTACCCGCCATAGCCCTGGTGTTTTCGCTGAAATCGATATATATTAAGCTGAAGGTTTGATGTCGAAAATATACTTGGCTGACTATATTTAAATGTACATTTATGACTAGACAGTTAACAAACCAGCTGTATTTAGTAATTATTACTATTCGCTTATACCTATCGCAGAGTATGCAGCTGGGAATAAGTGAATAATCACTCCTTGAAAATTCGCTCATCACTAGCGAATAATCGCTATTTTAATCAGCCCAGAGTATGCAGCTACGAATATGCGAATATTTCTAATAAATGTTGGCTACGGACCGTAATTTTGGGAACTTTAGAGTATTTATAGAAGTGGGGTTATAAGTGTGGAATAGCATGCGTAAAAACCTTTACAAGAGGTATCAGAAGGAAATCTAATAAAACAATATTTCATTTTATATTAACATTAGGTAATTAATTAATTAATATTTCGAAGAATAAAAAATTTTGTTTAAATTGTTTATTAAAAGTTCACATTTTTAGTTTTATTTTAAGGTGTGAAAAAAAGAAATAAAAAATGTCTTTTATTAAAAAAAATTAAAGAATATTTTTGATTTTCAAAAAGGGGGTTAATTTTGAATAAAAAATATTTATTCCATTCGAAAGAGCAATTAAAAATCTTTCGAAATCATATAGATCAACATTTCTTTCACCCTGTTATACTCTATAAATTTGAATTAGCGACTATTCGCTTATTCATAGCTGCATACTCTGGGCAGATTAAAATTGTCACTATTCGCTAGCAATCAGCGACTATTCGCTAGTGATGAGCGAATTTTCAATGAGCGATTATTCACTTATTCCCAGCTGCATACTCTGCGCTAGGAATAAGCGAATAGTCAATAATTTAAAGCGAATAGTCGCTAATTCAGATTTAGAGAGTACAATAGTTATGAGTTTTTAAAAAATGCAATCCTCACATTTTGATAATTTCTTCACTTTATAAACGCATACAACATATATATATATATATATATATATATACAAGCAAAAGTCTGTGTATAAATATTCATTACATATACTAAACGTTTTTTCTTTTTTTTTCATTCTCAAAGAAGAAATAACAATTTTCAAGAAAAATATTTAAAACCTATAAATTGTATTTGTTATTCCACAATTTGCATGATAACAATTTTACGTAACATCACTTGGACAGAATTTTTTAAAAATTATTCGATTTCAAAGTATTATGGTTTATTATCTTCAGAAAATGATTCTTTACAACTTCACCATGGAGATTTTCAAACAAGCAATTTTTTATCTTATACAAATTTTATAAACAAATATATTTTTTGATTTAAATTTTTTTCTTGAAAATTGATATTTCTTCTTTCAAAAAGTACATTTAATAATATTATTATAACTATAGTTATTGTATCAATAACTAATTAACATTAAAATTAAACGTTAAATTTTTTGCTTAAGTGGTCCCTTAGGGTGTTAGAAATAATATCCTATTAGTTTCAAGTTGGAAAAGAAATCTATTTTTAAAAAATAATTTTCGTCGGGAAAGCACATTGCATAGTAAGAAAGTTTAACATGATTAAAAAATTAATTCAGAAATTACTACCATGAGTACACTAATATAAATAACTCGTCAATACTGCAATAATTATTTGCATGTTTACCATACAAAATGATTGGAATAGATACGGCCATATTTGATGTCTATTTTAATTAAAAATATGTCAAACTGAAAAATATAAATATTACAAAAGAGCAATTCAAATAAAAGTGATGGTTAAAACGGCCTGCTAATCATTGTGAATTAACATTGTACACTTTGAAATATATTTTCATAGCAAAATCCACCAACTTGTTTCTATCAGTGTAATGATTTTGGTATCATTAGCTTAATTTTGAAAATTTGTACTCTACCATGTTGGATATGCCATTTTAAATTTTGAAAAACTTACGTCATATTCGTAATCTGCTTGATCAGTTACTATTAAACAACTATTTTTTGAGTGAATTTTCTTTAAAAAAT